ATTTTTATTTTATGTGCACCTGTGTTTTGCCTGCATGCATGTCAGTGTGAGGGTGTCATATTCCCTGGAACTGGAGTTATAGATGGCCATGTGGGTGCTGGGAATTCAACCTTGGTCCTTTGGAAGAACAGCTAATGCTCTTAATCTGTGAGCTATCTCTCTAGCCCCTAGTACCCAGTTTTTATGTACGTGCTGGGAATCTGAACTCAGGCCCTGTGCTCACTTAGCAAGCATGTTCCTGATGAAGTCACTCCCCCAGACCTCTGTTGGAGGTATCCTGCTAGTTGAGGTTACAGTTCTTGCCTGGACCGGATAGCCATTACAAGCTCGGTGCTAAAGGCAGAACTCCTTCCACTTGGCGGGATCCCTGGCTCTCTGACAGACTTCATCTGGAAAGTGTCTTCAGACACAGACTCCCCTGGCCACACTTGATATATGCCTCTGACACAGCTCCCTGCTAGCTCTCTCCTCCCTGCACCTATAAGTTAATTAAGCACTGACATTCTACTCTTATGATAGGAGCCTGCTGTATAATGCAAATCAAGCATCTTTGAAGTACCTAGTTCCAACTAATTATGTGCACCTATTCTTGGAGCCCCTCCCCCAACTCCCTATGGGTATATAGCCTTTGTTCTCTGGTATTAAAGTTGAACTAGCCATCAGCTGTTCCTGGGGTGATACCTGTATGGTTCTCACAGGCATGCTTCTCTTATCGCCCCTACCCCTCCTGACTTGGTCCCCTGCCTCTCCTGACTTTGTGGGCTGCTGGGAAGCAGCCAACAGGTAGGAGGAGAATCACAGACCCTATTTTTTTTTTTTTTTTAACTATGTGTCCCAGGCTAGCCTGAACTGCTTCTTATGTCTTTGCCTCCCTGGTCCCCATACTAAAGCCTAAAAAAATGTGCCGACAGCCTTAGAGATGGCACAGTGGTAGAGGTAAAAGTAAGCACTCATCAAGCAAGCTTGGCCATCTGAGGGGTATCCCTGGAACTCACACAAGTGGCAGTAGAGAAAAAATTGAATCCACAAAGTTGTTCTCTGACCTCCATACATGTACTGGAGCACATGCATGCCTTCCCCATCATACAGACACAGTAATAGAAAAATTAAAGTTTAAGAAATGGGGTCTGGAGAGATGGTTCAACAGTGAAGAGCACTGGCTGCTCTTTAAGAGGACTTGGGAACTGGGTGTGGTGGCATTCACCTGTAATTCCAGCACCTGGGAGGCAGAGACAGGTAGATCTCTGTGAGTTTGAGGCCAGCCTGGTCTACAAAGTGAGCCCAGGACAGCCAGGGCTACATGAAGAAAAAAAAAAAAAAAGAAGAACCTGGATTCCAGCGCCCACATTGCAGCTCACAACGGTCTGTTCCGGGGACTCCAATATCCTCACACAGACATACATGCAGGCAAAACACCAATGCAAACAAAAATAAATAAATCATTAAGTGTTTTACATTGTGAGACCTTGTCTCAAAGGCAAACAAAACAAAACAAAGGGTGGAGATGATGCTCAGTGAGAGACCATGACTGTGGATGAATCCATTGCTTTCCAAAGCAAAGACTGGACTTGGTCTCCCTGAGTTATGAGGACAAATTATAGCAGAGTAAAGCCACAGTCAAGCAAGAGAACCGGCAGAGGAGACTGCAGCATCGCTTGCTGCTTCCCACCCTTCCACTTTCCTTCTGTGCTGGCAATCAACCCAGGACTTCAGGGCTTCAGGAGAAGGACTCTACCACTGAGCTCCATCCAGCCCTTCGCTTGCTGTACCAACAACACAACATACCGAGCACCATGAGGACGAGATCCGTGTGCATGAGGGTGGGAAAGACACAGCTTTTCCTCTTACCACTGTTCCAGCTGTTCCAGCTGCAGCTCTGGTGGTGGGGCTCCAATGCAGGATCTCTGCTGCTGGGCCTTCCACTCATCCAGTTTTGGCAGCAGCAGGTCGACCAGGGTGGTCAGTCGGCCTACTAGTGCTTTGGAGGTGTCCAGGACCTCCTGGGAAAAAGGATGTGAGGGTTAAGCGCCGCCCCTCCTCACCCAGCTGATGGAGAGGACAAGGAAATCCCCCCAGAGTACCCCCAACCCTCTCATCCCCAGATCCCTGCTGCCCACCCTGGGTTCTGCCCTTTACCTTTCTCTTTTTGTCTACTTCGTTGGCGGTTGCCTGTAGCTGTTGCAGCTGTTCCCTCTGATGGGCATCCAGAGATGATGTCTTCTCTGAAAGACAAAACCAAGAGTCAGATCACAGGTTCTTTCTGCCTAGGTCTCAGTAGGAAATTTTGGATGGGGAGGAAGGGAGAACCAGGCAAAATACAGGCACATGGGGTTCCACAGGCAAACTCTGGGTGGAACAGGAGCCCACTCGACCTATGAAGGCAGTTTTGTACATAAGCCCTCCATCACTAACTATTCTTCAGTTCTAGCTCCAGTCCACCCTCCACAACATGCGCTAGTGCCTCTGCTTTGCCTATGGACAGGACAACTGATGCTGCCATGTAGCAGAGGGTGACCATGCTACTCGCTGGAGCATTCAGCTTCTGTCCTCCTCTACTCTAGATCCCCAAGATGGATCCTGTCTTTCTCCCATTTTGAGCAGACCTACTTTGATTGTAAACTGTGTATCTGAAGCTGAAGACATCGTGCAGGTCTTTCAGTTGCCTGATAGATCTCACCAGCACCTGTAGAGATGAGACCCCAGTGAAGCAGCTTCAAAGGGTGGAAAAGCTGGGTCCTCTCCACCTGACACTTGCCACATCCACTGACTTCAACCACACTCTGTAAATCCAGGATCCGGGAGTCAATCTCAAGCTGCTGACTCTCCGCGGCTGCTCCAGGAGCTGGCCTGGCCTGCACCTGAAACAAAAGGTTTTGAACTCTCACTTGTGGCTGGCTTTGCTTTTTGAGGCAGGTTTTTCTGTGTAGCCCTGGCTGTCCTGGACTCACTCTGTAGACCAGGCTGGCCTTGAACTCAGAGATCCCCCTGAGTGCTGAGATTAAAGGCGTGCTTTCTACCACTGCCACCACCTGAACTCTTGAGTTTTCAAGCTTAAAGTTGGGACCTGAAATGATGCTGCAGGATGTGGGGAGATCCTGGTTTGAGAGATGTTCCTGAGTTGTCTCCATGCTGCCTTTCTATGCCAGAGCTTTTACCATCACCTTACCTGTTGAGCCCTTTGAGCCTGATTCAGAATTCTTTTCTCTTCCAGAAGAAGATTAAAGATCATCTCAGCCAACTCGGTAGGACCATTGGGTAAGGTCTAAGCAGGGAAAACAGAAGGATCAATCCCACTTAACTATCTTAATGACCTACCAATCCAGAGGCCCTGCCATCAATTTCTCTAGTAACCTCCCCTCTTCAAGGTCACTGGCTGGTTCCTGCGTGTACCTAGACTCAGTCCTTTACTATGCCAGCGATGCTCCAAGTCTAGACTCTGTCCTCCTCTCCCCAGGCCTGCTCCCCTCCTTTTGCATCTTTAGGACCCACTCTGTACCCAACTCAAGGCGAGTCCCACTCTGTCATCTCCCACCCTTCCAAGTACCTGAATGTCCCGGCTGAATTTCCGCAGGTTATGCTGTAATAGAAAGCAATCAGGGTCTGAGCTGTAGTGGTCCCACTGGTTCAGCTGGTCCATAATGTTGAAGTATAGCATGTTAGCCTTGGAATGATCACTTCCTAGTGCAGCTTCCCTCCTGAGGACCAAGTATGACAAAGGCTTTAAAGTGCTGCTGCTCTGAGACCTCTGACCCCTCCCAGAATGCCTCTAGGACCTGTGGGCTCAAGAAGAAAGAACCACTTGAACTCCCGAAGCCCTCACCAGTTCTGGTCTTCGATCCAGACAGCCAAGTGCTGCCGGACATCCATTGGCAGGAAGCTTTTTGAGTACAGCTGGTGCAGCTGGTCCAGAAATGGGAGGTCAAGGTTCTGCAGCATCTCCCACTGCGCCATCTGGACTCTGAATGGAAAGGATGTCAGTTCTCAATTGCACACTTTATTGAACCAAATCACACACAGTCTCATGATATATTTATTTATGTTTGATTTATGAAGCAAACAAACAAATCCAGGGTCTCACTCCTAACCAGATAGCCTGGAAATTGCAGCAATCCTGCCTCAGCCTCCTAAGTGCTAGGATTTACCAGTGGGCCACCAAGTCTGGCTGTGTGTTTTTTGTTCTAATTTAAAATATTTTAATTATACAGTTAAGAAATACATAAAAGGAGCATGGCATAGTGGCCATATCTGTAATCCTGGCACTCGGGAAGCAGAGGCAGACGGATCTCTGTGAGTTTGAGGGCAACCTGTTCTACAAAGTGAGTCCAGAAAAGCCAAGGCTACACAGAAAAACCTGTCTTGAAAAACAACAAAAACATACATAAAAGGATCTGGAGAGTTGCCTCAGTGTTGGAGAGCATTTGTTGTTCTTCTAGAGGACCAGAGTTTGATTCCTAGGGTCCACATGGTAACTCACAACCATTTAAACTCCAACTCTAAGAGATCTGATACCTTCTTCTGGCCTCTGAGGTTATCAGGCATTTAAATGGTATGGCTAAATGCATGTAGGCAAAACTCATACACATAAGTTCTTTTTTGTTTTGTTTTGTTTTTCAAGATAGAGTTTCTCTCTGTAGCCTTGGCTGTCCTGAAACTCACTCTGTATACCATGCTGGCTTTCAACTCACAGAAACCCACCTTTTTCTGCTTCCCAAGTGCTAGGATTAAAAGCATGCGCTACCACCACCCAGCTAGACTGTAACATTTTTATGATTTCTGTCAATACCTGGTTTTTGAGTGAATTACCAAATTTATGAAGACCCAGAAATTTCACACAAAACTGCCACACGGCAGGCAGTGCCATGGGTGTTTCCCCCACATTTTTCCTTCTTGCTGCCGTCTCTTATCTATTCTTTGCCTGCTCCCATCAGTCTGCCACTGGAAGCCTCTCTGGTGACCATCTACAAGTATAGCAGAATATCACTAGGAATCATTTCATTGAATTTTTCTTTCTTTTTTTTTTTTTTTTTTTTTTTTAGGCAGATCTCAGGGAACCCTGCAGAAAAGGGGGAATAAGGACCATAGGAGCCAGCGGGGTTGAGGATACTAGGAGAACACAGCCCACAGATTCAACTAAAGAGGGCTCAAGGGGCCCACAGAGACTGAAGCAGCAATCACGGAGTCTGCATGGGTCTGTGCAGGTCCTTTGCAAAAAAAAAAAAAAAAAAAAACAAAAAAAGCGATGGGGTTTTTGTGGGACCCTAGCAGTGGGAGCGGAGTGTGCCTCTGTCTCTTTTGCCTGCCCTCGGGACTCTTTTCCTCCTGCTGGGTTACCTTGTCCAACCTTGATATGAGGGTTTGCGCCTTGTCTTATTGAAATCCTGTTATGCAATGTTCAACTGGTATTATCGGGAGGCCTTTTCTTTTCTGACAGGAAACAGAAGAGCAGTGCATCTGGGGGTGGGGGGGATGTGGTCAGGGTGTTATTGTGTGAGAGAAGAATAAATAGAAAGAATAAAAGCCTTATTTTTATTGCACTCCGAGCCTAAAAGATCAGGAGAAACGGGGCTGGAGAGATGGCTCAGCGCTTAAGAGCACTGACTGCTCTTTCATCGGACCTGGGTTCTATTCCCCGCACCCATACGGTGGCTCAAAACCATCTAACTCCCAGTCTCAGGACATCTGATGCCCTCTTCTGGCCAACTCAGGCATTGCACGCATGTGGTACTAAGACAAAGCAAGCTAATTAAATAAGAAGCAAGCAAACAAGTAAATAGACACGCAGAGCAGGGGGTTAGAGCTTTGGCTTACGACAAGGAACAAGGAACATACCCCAGGCTTGCGGAGGAGTTTCGGAAGGAAGTCGATGGGGTTGAGAAGTAGAGCTATGCAGGGTGTAACACCCCGAAAGGTGCTCGACTTCAGCCAGACATTAAAAGCCTTGTCTACAGGGGCATCCCCCAAGCCAGGAGCCCTTCCCGGGAACAAGCTCGCACCCCGGCTCCGCATACCCTTCCGGGGCCTGTACCTTCTGAGGGTCCAGTGCCGCTCCGTCCAGGGGCTCCCGCTGCAACTTCCAGCCCTCCGAGCGGCTCGGGAACCCTCTTCCCACCCCGCCCCGTCTTCGGCTGACCCCGACCGTGAGCGGTGGAACAGAACGCACCGCTGCCGGACGCTAGCGCTCGCCGTTCCGGGCTCTCCAGAGCGACAGGCGTCTCGGCCACGCCCTTCCCCCATGTGACACTCTCATTGGCTGAGACATAACCCCGCCCCCTATGGGCTGAACAAGATGCTTGAAACCACACCTCCGACTTCAGTGATTGGCGGAGAGCCTCACATTAGCGCCCGCCCCCGTGCCCGAGAGGGCGGAGCCCAGTTAAAGTCATAACCAAGAACTCAAGCAGCTGACTTTTCCGAACCTGCCGTCCTAGGGAAAGAAAACGAAACCGGAGCGTGTGGAGGCACGAGAACTTCTTGGAAGGGGTGGGACCTGCATTTCGACACTTTAGGATAGGGAGGGAAGAGCTGAGGATATTAATGGTAAATACTATGGGTTCATGGTATCACTTTTTAATTTCAATAACCTCTTGTTCAAGTGAAAATTCGCTATTTCCACATTAGAAATGTAAAAACAAACTCAAGAAGGAAATTTCTGGCAAGTGATAACAATACCCTAAACCCATCCACCCACCCTCCCACCCACGCACCCACCCATGCGTGTAGACTCCTCTTGTCAGAATTTTTCCGTTTACTGGTCATGCTGTTGCTATTTCTTGTATGCCAAGACACCATAGTTCTTGAGTAAGGCCTGCCCCCGGTAAGAATCTGTGCTTTCAGCTGGCACCAAAGTGGCCATGGTCATTTCTTCCAGGGCACTGCTGTCTGAGGTGCCATCTAGTGTTCTCTTTGGCGGAGGGGTGCTCGCCTCTTTCTCATCATAATAATATTGGATCAGCCGCTGAACCCCAGCCTTCATTGCTGGTTTAAGAGCAGCAATGATTACCACACCAGCTGGTCCCCCTGACGTACCCACCATGGCCATCAAAAGGTCATAACCCAGATCTATGGCCCCATCCTGGCCTCGCTCCTTGGCCTTGTCAGGGCAGTTCCGAATGGCGTAATACAAAGCCGTGCCTAGGTTGTAGTAGGTCCCCACTGCAGGCAGCTGCCCAACCACATCGTGCACGCTCTGTTCCTGCTCGTTCTCACAGTCAGGCTGAGAAAGGGAGCGCGGGGCCCTCTTCAGACCTGGCTGCTCCCAGGCTAGGAGCTGTAGAGCTGAGGACAGGGCATCCACGGACACCTTCCAATCCACATGTCCATCTTTCTGGAGCTCTTGAAGATGGCGGATGAGGGCTTCTGTAGGCGCCACACCTCCCAGTCGGTAAAGCTTACGCTGCAGAGCCCAGACCTCAGCCTGGCAGCCAGCTTCCTCGAGAGCGTTCCTCAAAGCCAGGCCTACCAGGAACTTGGGGAGAGGGGGCATGTGAGTGAAGCCAGGCAGGGACTCTGGGAGCAGGACCTGGCAGGAGAAGGGGTCTGAGAAGGGCAGTTGGTACCCCAACTCCGAGGGAAGCGGCATGGTGGAGACAGTTGTTGGCTCTCTGTCTGAAATGGCATCCACGGGGCACAGCAGGTGACAGCAAAGTAGCTGAACACTCATTACAATGAGGCCATGCATGAGGCCATGCATGTCTGGAACAGAGTACCCTGGAAAAAGGTAGAACCCCAAAACATGCAAACCATTTTCTTGAGGGTTTATAGTCTGAAAGGAGCCCAAGATTTGGGGAACCCCCTCATCTATCCATGCTTTTGTTCTCTTTAGTAAAGGGACAGAATATGGGAAATGTAACACAATTTCTCCTTGGTCTCTGCCATTTCTAGATTGCAGAAACCTCCCTGTTTTATGCCCACCCACTTAGGGGGGGACCCAGATTACCATATAGTCGCATCATTGAGAAGAATACTTGGGCAGGCTTGGTAGCTTCTCAGTCTTCCTTTTCTGCCCAGTTCTCTGTCCCATGAACAGAAGAGATATTTGGGGCCCGCTGAGGTGCTGAGGTGGAAGGGGCAGGACTGATAAGCTAGAGCAAACTCCAGCCCCTATGGTGCAGATGAGGCTTCAGTGTTGACATTGGCCAGGGCCTTTGCAAATAAACCAGGACAGAAAAGTTCAACAGTGCAACTAGCTGCTGTAATGAGAGGGCATTGGTCACATTGTCTTAGGCAGGTGAGCTTGACTGCCACACACAGGCTGCTTGGATGTATTGATACTCACCAGATGGTGTTTGGAGATTTCAATCTCACTGGAACTTCTCCACCTACATTCCTTTTATTTTTTGTAACCATTTGTTTTATGTTATGTGCATGAGTGTTTTTCCAGGGTGTATGTAAGTGCACTGCAATGTACAGTGCCCAAGGAGGCTAGAAGAGGGTGTTGGATTCCCTGAAACTGGAGTTACAGATGCTTGTGAGCTGCTGTGGGTGCTGGGAACTGAACCTGGATCCTCTGCAAGAGCAGTAAGTGCTCTTAACCAATGACCCATTTCTCCAGCCATTTTGTTTATTTTTGAAAGTTATGGGACCAGCCAGGTAGTGGTGGTGCATACTCTTAATGACAGCACATGAGAGGCAGAAGCAGATGGATCTCTGAGCTTGAGGCCAGCCTGGTCTACAAAGCAAGTTCCAGGACAGTCAGGGCTACAGTGAGAAACCCTGTCTCAAAAAACAAACGAAAACTTGTGGGACCGCTCACCAGAAGGCAGTCATGCTTGGTCTTGGAAACTAGCCAATTACCGAGGGCTGGTGAAGATCTTGAAGGAAAATCCACAAGCAGCACTTTGCTAACAGCATAATCCCTACGTGCATTCCAAACATTTATCCTTATACCCGCTGATAACTCATCCTCATCAAGGAAACTTCTCTTGGCAACAGATGGAGACCATTACTGAAAATTGAAATCAATCAAAATGCAGAGTTGTGGAGCCCAGTCTCCACAAAACACTCTTTCTACTAAGGCTCAGGGAACATTGCAAAACAGTGGATGGAAAGATGCAAGAGCCAGAGGGTCAGTATGTTTGCTGTGGTTGTCTTCTAGAAATCTCAGAAGCTATGCTTGTGAAGTCCTCCCAACATGACTGCCTAAGCATGAGCTGAACAAGGAGGATGCCAAACACACGTGAGCAAGGGGAAGGAAAGGCTCATCCCTACAAAAGGAACTACAGGCAGCTGATAGCAGGAGACATTGTCTTTTTCAGGGAAGAACAGTGATTAGATGTCCATTGCCAACTGGTCAGCCCTGAAAACATATGTGCAAATCACATTATACAGACTGAACAGCTTAACTTCAGAAATACATATGTATGCACATATTTGTATATAACAACAATTAATTTAAAAAAAGAGGCCATGAATTTGAAAGAGATCAAGGAGGGATATATCAAGACGGTCTGTCGGGAGGAAATGATGTAATTATAGTGTACTCTCAAAAGAGTTTTAAAAACACATATTAGGAAAAAAGTTATGGGATATCTCACTAGTTCTGGGAGGGGAAAGCCTGAAGAAGCAGGCAGTATAACCATTCCATTTGCTTTGGTGTCTTCATGACCTGAGAAAATGTTGTTTTAACCTCATCATCTCCCATCTCCCTTCTCTCTACCACATCATTAGGAAGCCAAAAAGCTGTGGTTTATAAAAGTGAAGCATCTGGTATTTGCAAGTATTTCCGATTCTTCTGGACCAGGCTCTGTCTTTACCTTTGACCCACACTGACAAACTGTTTTTCTGATACTGTTCATGCCATATCTCCTTGTGTAGGCATAAGGTTATTGTGTAATTCAAATGCTGATTTCTATACCCCACCCCCATTTTCTGGTTGTAATCTTTGTTCCAAGAATTGCCTGTCACAATGTTGTGTAAACACTGCTCCCCAAGTGTCCCCTGGTGTGCCAATAAAGCAGCTTAGAGCCAATCGCTGAACAAGGGGGAGAATCTGGCCTGGACTTCCTGCCAGCCAGGGGAGGAGTTAGAGGAGGGAGTTGGGCCATGGGCAGAAGTCCAAGAGACATCAAGAGAAGGAGCTGGAGGAGTGCAATATCACTGGGATGTACCCTGGGAAGAAAGCAGATTAGCAAGGAAGGTTAAGAATAGAGTAATAACTGCTTAGTTATTGTGTTGTGAAGCTTGTTATTAAACAAATATAAAAGAGTCCACAGACTTCCACATAGTCATAGAACATATACTCAGCATATACACAATAACTGTATAAACTGAATATGTGACCAATCCATGGTGTGGTTAAAGGGAAGATTTTTTATTATAGATGTGAGAGAACAGCCAGAGGCATTTGAAAGAGCACAGAGCAGAGAAAGAAAGTAGTAGAGTAAACGTGGCCAGCAGACTGACTGCTCCTGGCCAGGGCTGTCTTTGAGAGAGGGGAGACTAGCAGGAGACAGAGAACAGAGCAAGCATAGCAAGTTTATTTCTGGGTATCTGGACTATACAAACTACCTCTTGTAGTTTGAGGAGTTGGAATTTCCTTTGGACCTGACAATAACAATAAACAAACAATTAACAATTACTAAATATAAATAAACTTAAATATTATAAATTTTCCATTTTTTTAATTGTCTATGTATGTATATTGTTGGAGACAGTCTTGCCACATAGCCCAGCAGCCCAGGCAGGTTTCAGTGTCCTTGGTACTGGGACTACAGGTGTGTGCCATGACACTGAGTAAACGCTACAATGATGTTTTGAAAACAAACTAAAAAAAAAAAAAAAGGAAGTGAGAAAATAAGAGTTTTTCTTAGAATGAAGAAGTAGAATTTCAGCTTTTATAAATTTACAAGGTCAGACACACACACACACACACACACACACACACACACACACACACACACACCAAGCATACAAAGTCAGAGTAGACCACACTCCCACATGCAGTATGTACCTTGACGTTTTCCACATGCAGGAATCTGCCTTACCATCATCTTATTAAAACTCGCCATCATGTCACACAGCATCTTTTTTTGCTGTAGAAGCCTCAGGTTTAGGTTAGGGACTCTAAACAACAGGTTCAACAACTGGGGTTCTTCACCATAGCCTGGACCAGATACAATGTTCTTCGGTTCACTCAAATCCAGCAGTGTTTTTGTCACTTAGTAAAGGCTTCTACCAGCATTTACAAACTACTCTACCTTCAGATGAAATGTACCTTTTTAATGTTTCACTATTACACCATTAGATGAAGCTGACACATTTTGAGCCACCTCCCTTTTATTGCTCCCCATCCAACTTCTAAGTTAATTCAATGGGTGGATTAATTACAGAGGAAAGAGATACATGCAAGCTTTTTGGAGTGTTTCAACCTTTAACCTATCAAGAATTGTTACTGAATTTATATTAATTTGTGATCTTGAAGGCTACTATACCCAAATATCTCATTTTGAAGATGAGTTAAATTTTTGAAAAGCATTAATCTACTCTTAAGTCACTCAGAATTTCTGGCTTAACTGGAATAAGATTTGGGTTCATAGGTGCCAAGTAATTATCAAACCTTCTTCAGATCTTATTTTATCAATAGGCTTCCTAAACTCCTGTGGCTCTTGATCTGCTATTTGGTTTTAGAAAGGGATGGTTTCTTTCACTTTGCTTTAACACAGCCTTAAATATCCCCAGAATATTTATTGATTAAAATTATTTGAATATAGTAGCTCTTCTGTATATTTCCTAGCCAAGCCTTGCTATGCATCTGTCCTCTGAAGAACCTCCACCAATCTTCTAGCATGTATGCAACTATGGACTCCATGCCCATGCAATCCCTAAGTGAGAGCCTTGATACAGGCAGCTTGGTCTCACAGTAGGCTGCACTGCTGGAGAGTGGAATACATCGAATAGACATTAATATTGTCAGTTTTCCACCACATATATTTTAGGTGGTTCCCACCATCTTGTGCACTAGATACATTGTTTGAGAATTAATAATGGGTAAGCTAAAAAATTAACATACTACATTTAAAAATAATAACCCAGAATCTCATGAAGATTCTAGAAGACTGATTGAACAAAAGTCTTTTTTATGGCTGCCCTCTCCTCAGTTCCAAATTATATAATGCTTCCTATTTAAAAATAAATTATTAAGGGGAGAAGAGACAGTCTCTAACATGAACTCAGCTGCCTGCTCCTTAATCACTTCTCCCTGGTGGGGAGACCTAGCCAGCCCACAGAGGAAGAGGATAGGCTAGCATTAGAGAGTAGGGAAGGAGGACTCCCCTATCAGTGCACTAGGGGAGAGGGATAGGGGAGGAAGAGGGAGGGAGGGGCTACAACTGGATACAAAGTGAATAAATTGTAAAAATAAATAAATAAAATAATTGGAATCAATGGGAAGCTGAGAGGATATAAATCTATGGGCTCTGAGAAGATTATGGTCTTCCATACTGTTCCCACCTCCACTGACTTAGCAGTTGCCTGTGAAAGAGGTTTCGGAGTAAAGATCACCAAAAGCAAGTCCTTCAAAGAGGTGTTTCAGCAAGGCAGGTCCAAGAAGACTAGAAATGAAGGAGAATCTTCAGCATGGTCCATGTCACTGTCTCTAAGAGTTGCTTTAACTCTTACCACTCTTTCCCACCAAAGATAAAATAAAATATAGCATTATTGATCACCAACCAAAATGCCAGCAAAGGAAAACAACAGTGTGTTACCTTGCAGACTATAATAGAGAATAAAAAACATACAGGCAGCTCACAGATGTGCAAAAAGACGTAAGTGGAGACTTTAAGAGGAAAATATTAAACCACTTGAATATTCTAATACCATATCCATAGGAGCTGATAGGTGCTGGCAATTGCCTATCAGCTAACGTGGTCCTGTTAGAATAACCAAGACCTCAGCTGACTCACAAGGCTACTATGCAATTTGTTTTCATCTTCACATCTTTGTCAACTTCTCTTGAAGGGGTAGAGAGAAAAAAAAATATCCAGTTACTATACAAAGTATTAACAAATAAGATTTGTTGTTAAAACCTGATATTTGAAGAATGTCACAAACCCAGTATCTGCTCACAATAATCCATAAACCAATAGAAGGCACTTAAGTGATGTTTTTTTAATTATTAGAATAAAAAATGTCAAAAAAGTGAGTAAAAAGTATGTATTAGACAACTTTCACCACTATAATGAAACAACTAGCTCAGGCTCATAGTTAGATGTAAAAAGCCAAAGATCAGGTGGCACCATTGTTTAGGCCTTTGGTAAGGCCAATGGTGATGCATCATGCAGGCAGATCATGTAGAAGGAGCTAGAGATCAGACCTCGACTAGGAGGCCAGGGAGGAAGGAGTGGTACCAGTGTAGCTATCTTACAACTGCCAAGGAACCCCAAGAAAATATCCTTCCAAACACACACTGGCAATTGAGCCAAAGACTTACTACTAGGCCCACTTCCCAAAGGTCATATCATATTCCTAGAGCAGCAACTGCAGGTTAAACCTCAATCAGAATAACCAGCGAAGATTAATAATCTTATGATAAGATTGATAATCATATCAAACCTAAACATTAGCATATGGCTACAAGAATATCAGAGATAGGATCCTCTAAACATTAAAATTCCTGCCATAAGTTTGCTACAGTATCAAAGTGTTATAGTAAGCTTGTTTCTAAGGAGACCTAAAACAAGCCAGATAAAGCATTTGTTTATATTCATAAACATTTTATAAATAAAACAAGCAAAAACCCCCCAACATCTGTTTGAAAATCATTAGACTGAGATGGCAGACATCTGTGTCACTGAGTAACTGGTTTTTAAAATAAGATTTTTTTTTCAGAAAAGTGTTTACACATTTAGTCAGGATTGCAGTTCTTTAAAAAAATGTTTTGAATATCCTTACATGGGTCAGTTTTGACATAATTTCCCTTTACAAGAATTAAATGCTGTAATCAAGAATCAGAAACACATTTTTCTTAAATTATATGAAAAATTAAAATATGACATATACATATATGTACATATATATAGTTCTAAGAGGAAAATGTGTAGTGATCAACTTTGGTACATTATTTTCAGAAACAAACAAATCTAAAAGAAATTTAAATCAGGTAAAGTTGTGAAGAATATATTGTTTAAACCATAAACTTGATCGTATATAGAGTGTTTACCCTTTTAATGAAAAGATTCAATTAGTTTAGATTGGAAAGCATATCCACTCTACCCTTAAGATCCAGGAGATGGAGAAATGGGAGCACTGGAGAATGAACACATCTTGATGAGTTTGAGTTAGCCTGGGTAAAGAGCTATCTTGACTGGGAGCTGAATTCAGGTACCAGGAAATATTACAGAATGTACACCTGGCAGAAAACAAAGTTAACTCTCCTAGCAACAGCCTCCAGAATAAATGCTTCATAGAAAATAGAGACAAACTCCCTGGCAATAATCAATGGGAATTGGTTGAGAATCGGGTGGGAACATTCTCCCCAATGTTTCAGATGTGGTTTAGAAAAATAGCCACCGTGATTATATGCCTTAGCCATTGTGATTGTGTGCCTCAGAAAAGGTCACCCTGCCCTGCTAAACTTCACCCAATTTTGTAACGCCAAGGCTTGTGCCCCCTGCTTGTTGCCATGGAAACCCCCGGCTCACAGACTTTCCCTTTAAAAATCCTGTTCACACAGAGCTCAGGGTCCCACTTCTCTACTGCTGTGCCAGTGAGACTTGGGTCCCGAGTTTGATTGCTCTTGTATTAAAGCTCTCTTGCAATTGCATCGAGTCGTCTCCTGGTGGTCTCTGAGGGTCCCATGAACCTGGCATTACAGTCTTTATGAATCATAGTTGTGTACTCTGCAAGCGACCAGCTGTCAAAATGGTGGTGAGACAGATTGGAATGGTAATCAGTAATTGGTTTGATAGTCCTGGTGGTGATGAATGGGATATAGGCAACTTCCTACCAGTACACCCTCTCCAATGTCATTAATTCTAGATGCTACAGAAGTCAGAGACTTGAGACCTGTTAAAAGAATGACTAACAGTAATCACCTCCTGGGATTTCTCAGTCTTGTGGAGAGAGTACTAGAATTACTGGAGTGGGGGTAGAAAATTAGATTGAAAGGGAAAATATTGACCAAGCATGCTACAGGAATTTCTGATAGGAGAAAGGGGCTTTAAGTAAAGGAGGAAGAGTGGAACTTGTAAATGGGGATTATTTCACTTCATGGCTGAAGGAGAATACTATGGAGAAACAGTGAAGTGAGTTCTTCTAAAAGGATGAGCACAGAACCAAGAATGAGAGGGTCAGGAAAGTGGGTCTTTCCTCATAGATGCCTTATTTGCATTTTGTAAGACTTTTAGTACCGCATTATGTTGCCTGTATTCTAAATAAAGACATACTGCAATGCATAATCGTGTTTGGGCAGAAATATCCCCAAAGGAAAAAAGTGGCCTCTAATAAAAAAATGATTTCAAAATTCAAATAATAAAAAGTATTTTGTAATGTTTAATTTTTTTTCTAACATCCTTAAACAATAAAACTTATCTTTGTCTCTCAAGAGGGCTAAACATGAATTGTTAGTTTCCAGGGGTGAGAGA